ACGTACATACGTACATATGTACATACATACATTCGTTCATACATACATTATATAAACCAATATTATATATTAATATATCCTATATGTATATGCATATATGATATATTAATATATATATATATATATATATATGTATACATTTATGTATGTCCACATGCTGCACACCAACAGAGGCCCCCTCGCCCCGGCCACCTGCGCGAGGCTCGCCGCCTCGGTCTGCGCCCTCGGCACGCCGAGGCCTCCGCGCCCAGCCGCCGCCTCCCCGACCAGCCTCGGGTTTTAGGGCTCCTAGGGCTTTAGGGTTTAGGGTTTTAGGGTTCTTAGGGCTTTAGGGAGGGGTTTAGGGTTTAGGGTGTTGGGGTTTAGGGTTTAGGGTTTATGGATTTTTGTTTTAAGGGCCCTTTTCTGTCCGCGCGTGTTCGAGAGGTCAGAATCCTCAGGGTTTACGGTTTAGCATTCCTACGGCTTTAGGGGGGGGTTTAGGGTGTTAGGGTGTTAGGGTTTAGGGTTTAGGGGTTTAGGGTTTAGGGTTTTTGGGTTTTGGGTTTAGGGGTTTTGGTTTTGGCCTTAGGGTTTCAGGGTTTAGGGTTTAGGGGTTTAGGGTCTAGGGGTTAGGGTTTAGGGAAAGTTTAGGGTTTAGGGGTTTAGGGTTTAGGGTTCCTAAGGCTTTAGGGAGGGTTTTAGGGTTTAGGGTGTTAGGGTTTCGGGATTAGGGTTTAGGGTTGTTTTGGGTTTAGGGGTTTGGGGTTTAGGGTTGGGTTTGGCGGCTACATGCTTAGTTGTTCGCTCCTGGTTGTTTCTGGGCGTTTTGAGGGTGGGTTCTTGGGTTTCGTTGTCTATTGGTGGGTGCTTTTGATTGCTGTGTTGTTTGTTTCGGTTGTTGGTGTGTTCGCCGTTACGGGCTTGTGTTGAACGTTTTTGCTTCTGAACCCCAACCCCTAAACCCTAAACTTCCCTAAACCCTCAACCCCAAGCCCTAAACCGATTCAACCGTTTGCGATTGCTTGAAGAAGCTTTCGGGCTTTTGAGCTCAGGAAATTTAGGTCGTAGGTTTTACGGGTTAGGGTCTAGGGTTTTAGTTGTTGCGAGGGGCTTAGGATCCTAAACCCTAAACCCTAAACCCTAAACCCTAAACCCTAAACCCTAAACCCTGACTTTGGGCTGGATCTTTCAAGGGGGAGCTCTGGGGTTTAGTCTAGTCTTTCTGGGGGAGCTTCGAGTTTTCAACGCAGATCTAGGGAGTTATGCCTTTTTGCACTTTCTTATGGTGATGGTTTTGGTCTAAGATCTAGGGAGTGATGCCTTTTTGTGCTATTGTTTTCTTCTTTTATGTTGGTGATTTTGGTCTACGATCTAGGGTTTAGCGGCTCTGACGGCTTCATGGAGTTGCAAGGGGTTTCAGGGAGCCTCATGGCAAGGAAGCATGGTTGAGAGCTGAAGGATCCAGGGGGCATGCATAGAAAGATGCGGTTTTTTTTTCTGGGGTTAGGGTTTAGGGTTTAGGGTTTAGGGTTTAGGGTTTGGGTTCCTTACACCTCTACGGCTCCCACCATACAAGGCTTCCCCTACAGAAGCTCGTACTTGCCCGGACTAACCCTGAGCCCGAATGCCACGCCAGCTCGGCTCCTGCTTGAAGACTTTGGCCCGCGAGAAACAACTTGCAACAGGCCCGGTCAAGACTGCGACGAATGGAAGCGCAAGCCGCTAACCTACGGACACCCTAAACCCTAAACCCTAAACCCTACACCCCTAAACCCTATAAACCCCTAAACACCTAAGCCATGTAGAACCCTGTGCGCCAACCCCAAACCCTAAACCCTGAACCCTAAAGCCTGAACCCTAAACCCTAAACCCTAAAGCCTGAACCGTAAACCCTAGACCCTAAACCCTGAACCCTAAATCCTAGACCTTAAACCCCTAAGCCCTGAATCCTAAACCCTAAACCCCTAAACCCTGAACCCTGAACACATGCTGGTGTGTGGGTCACACCCCGACCAGAGTGGCACTAACAGCTAATGGAAGCACGGGGGCTCGAAAAGCTTCAAATGCCTTGGCAACTCCTTACGATGCACGGTTTAGGATTTAGGGCTTAGGGTTTAGGGTTTAGGGTTTAGGGGTTTAGGGTTTAGGGTTTAGGGTTCAGGGCTTAGGGTTTAGGGTTTGGGGTTATGCTGTTCCAGGGCAGTGGAAAGCGACGCCGAAGCAACAGGCCTAGACTTCAAAGAAAGCTGCTTCCTTGAACTATCTAGTCCAAAGGTTTAGGGTTTAGGGTTTCGGGTTTAGGGTTCAGGGTTTAGGGTTTGGGGTCTAGGCTCCCAAAGCCCAAATCGTCGGAACCTCTCCGAAAAATGCAGATCGAGGAACATCACTCCAGCCTTCACCGCGTGGCCCAACCTGGGGCAGATCACAGGGGGCCGGAGAAATTCTCGGGTTTTGGGTTCCCCAAACTCTAAACCCGAAACCCAAAACCCAAAACCCTAAACGCAAAACCCTAAACCCTAAACCCGAAACCCGAAAGCCTAAACCCGAAACGCTAAAGAGATTGATAGGTGGATGGATGGGCTTACCGGGCGCTGTGGCCAAACTTTGTCCTCCCTGCCGGCTTTTTCCGCGAACCTCCGTCATCGGCCACTCTCCAGGCTACTTGGAGGATCATGGGACTCAGTCAGCAAGGTTAGTATAATGTAAAGGGATTATGAGGCAGCTACCAAACCCTAAACCCTAAACCCTAGTCAATGCGTCCCATGAGCCTTTCAAGCAGAAGGCTATGGGGTAAAGCCACCTAAATCTAAAGCCGTGAACCTCAATTGGGGTTTAGAGTTTTTCGCATTAGGGTGTAGGCCCAGGCTGTTTCTTAAGGGCTTTCGAGGGTGTCTACAACTTTTGGGCGCGTGCGGTGTGAGCTTCCGGATGTGTCGTTCCATGTTGTCTTTTAGGGCGTAGCAGGGAACGGTCTTGGAAATGTTGGATGCAGAAAACATAAATCTGAACCCTCAACTCTCGTCTCTCCAAACCCAAAACCCCAACGGTTTTAGGGCCCTGAATATTGGACTATGGCTTCGGCGGATACCATGCTTCCACTAAAATAAGGACTTCCTAGGAATAGTGTTACTAGTCGTCTAGGGCTTAGGGCTACGGGGGCTTAGGGCTTAGGGCTTAGGGCTTAGGGCTTAGGGCTTAGGGCTTAGGGCTTAGGGTTTAGGGTGTAGGGCTCAGGATTTACGGTTTAGGGTTTAGGGTTAGGGCACTACGAGTCGTTCATGCATGTCTGCTTAGTCTCATTCCTCAGTCCCGTGAAGCCTCACGCCACCCATGCCAGCCCTAAGCCCTAAACCCTAATTTAGGGTTAGGGTTTAGGGTTTTGGGTTTAGGATTTAGGGTTTAGGGTTTAGGGTTCAGGGTTTAGGACTTAGGGTTCCATATTAAGAACAGCCGCCTCCTTGACCAGGACAAGGCTACGAGCGCGCCCGTGACT